CGGAGCTGGTCAGCCCGGGTGTCCCCCGCCATGCCGCGGGAAGCCAGGGTGTCTCAGGGAAGCCTGGGGCTGGGCTGGCAATGCCAGTCCCAGCAACGTACCCCCTCCCAGCGCTGCCCTGGGGGAACGACATGGAGCTGGAGCAGAGAGAGCCTGGAGCAGGGGCCTGGTACAAGGCCTGAACCAAAGTCAGCAGAAGTGATGCTCTGAGCAAAGTCCGGCCCTGTGGGACACTGAGCCAAAAAGGGTTAAGCAACTTGCCGGCTAAAATGACCCAACTTCTGCCTTTAAAGCCACACTAGAAAAGGAGCCGGGAGCTGTGTTTCTGGCTTCTGGGTGAGCAGCACGGTATCGGAGCAGCTGTTTTGTTGCTGGCTTGGTGAATCTAAGTATCAGAAATAACCAGCAGTTTGGGGGATTGTCGGCCCCACTCTGCAGTTTGCCCGGATGGAGCAATCTCAGTGTGGCCCCCCAGGCACCAGTCGCACCCTGACACAAAGCAGACGGTTGCCTGCAAGTTCCCCGTTCGGTGCACGAACTTGGCACCGGTATTGCCAGCATTGCCAAAACCCAGTGACTGTGTAACCACATCCCAGCGCGAGATTCCCCTGCCTAGCGCACGATAAGATGGTTTGATGGGTGGGGAATGTTTTGTCTGAAGCATCAGGAGTAAAGTACAAAGCCAGGGGATGAATAAGAGAAGTTTTGTCTGAAGCAGCAGGAGAAAGGCACGGGGAGGGAGGGGAGTAACAAGCATGTTTTGAAACACACAAGCTGGGATGTAGGTTGTTTATCCCGGATGGTTTGTCTCAGTCTGTAACTGTCGGGGTCCATTGTCAAAGGCAGACATGTGGCCGTGTCCCTGTGGCATCTATGGGCGCTGGCACCGGGCTGCATTGGCAATAAACCTGGCCGAGCGCCTTCGCCACTGATCTGACTCTGGGCTGTCTGGGCACTTCAAGGGAGGTCTGCCGGGCCGGCGACCCGCCCAGAGCCGGGACAGCACACGGAGCCGACGAACGCCAACCCCATGGCCCCACATCAGAGTGCTGGAACTGGGGGTGCCTCAGGGAAGGGTAACTCCCAGCCACGTTGATGCAGTGTGCGTTGGATTTGCAATCTGCTGGGTTTGGCTCCAGACACTCGTTAATATCTGCAATGCCAGTCACAGCACATGCCACCTTACAGTGCTGCCCACGCAGGGAGCTTGGGGCAGTGGGAGGGTCCCTCCAACTAGCAGCTGCACCTCCTAGAGGCCAGAGGAGAGCACGGCTGCCCGCCCCCAGCAGAAGCTCAAGCAATAGGGGACTGGGGACGAATTCAGGAACACTTTAGCCCAATTCCCGGAGCCGTTCCCAGGGCCACTTCCCAGGCTTCGCGTGCTGGGGCCAGCGAGGGTCCCCTCCCCTCTCCCAGCGCATCTCTGCAGCACAAGGAGTTTGCTCCGTGGGTCTGTTTCTAACCCCAAGGGTTTATTCCCTGTCCAAGCGCCAGGCACAGGGGTGAGCCCGGCCCCATGCTCTGCAGGAGCAGGCGAGGGTCATGTCCCATCACAGCCTCGCTAACGGCCACGGGCCACTGCCAAAGCCGGCAGCAGTCCCGGTGCAGCGCCAGGCCTGGAACGAGCATTTGTGTGTGCGGGGGGTGGGGGGGGTGGGGGGGGGTGGGTTCTCAGCAGGTGGGGTCAGGGAAGAGCTCACCCTGGCAGGTGTTCTCACTCGCGTTTATGAACTTGGCTTTCCCAGAGCTGAGCTCGTAGCCATCGATGCAGCTGCAGTAGTAACTCGCAGGCACGTTCTTGCAGTTTGCGTAGCGTCCGCAGTCTGGCAGGCTTGGCCCCAGACACTCGTTAATATCTGTAATGCAAGAGGGGACGCTCTGTACAGTCCTGGCAGGGAGACGTTCCCTGTATCACCCCCCAGCCCCAGCCCCCCGCACTGAGCTGGGTGACGGGATCCAGGCGACCGGGGCCCTGAGCGGTTAGTGATTACGGCCCTGATCCTCAGTTACCCATTTCTGCTGCTGGAATGTCGGAAACAGCCCCACGAGCCTCCTGTCCCAGGTACAGGGGGGGTTCGGCCCCACAAACACCCAGATCCCCCATGTGAGGGGAGGGGGGGAGACGTCCCCTTGGGGCTCCAG